AAGTCAGGCATCTGAGGTGCCCTTTCACTTGAGGCAAAGTTATAACAAGGTGCTGCCTTAGGAGAAAAGCCTCAAAATTCATTGACAACTCCTATTATCTGTCTTTTCAAAAAGCCTTGAATTTAACAAATCTTTTTGGTAGTTGAGATTTTCATTCAGCTTTAAAATCATGTTAGTTTCCACTTTATAAAAAACAACAAAATTATATGCCTCAATGCACATAACTCTCGTTTCTTTGAGTTTGGAAGATGTAAGATGGACAGGTTCCATCTAATTAGAATGTAGAAAACAAACCCAGTGATGTCAGGATTTTCTTTAAAAAGAGAAAGTCCTCTAGTTTTCCAAGAGCATCTTACCAAGAAGTCAGTCACAAAACACCCACACGGCCCAGGTTTCACCCCTGGCCCCGGCTTGGTTTCATCTGTCGGCAGTGACCAAGCAGAAGGGCCCAGACCGCCCTGCTGTAGCCCTCTCAGGGACTCACCATGTCATCAATGGTTTTTGAAGCACAGAAGCCCCATGAGGAAGAGGAACACCCTCACCTGAACAGGATGAATCCTGCCCTTGGTGCTTCCTACGCCTTCCACTGTGGTGACGGCAGCACCGTGCAGAGAACAGATGGGGGTCAGACAGGCATTGGCTGGATAATGTCTTCAGAATGCAAAAGAGAAGAAGAAATTACATTGCATCCAGTGGGAAAGGGGACTGAGCATTCATCGAGCACCTCTAATGGGGCAGGTTCTGTATAATGTCCCAGGCTTTGCACATGCATTTCATCCTTAGCTCATGGCCCTTTTACAGAAGTAGAGTCTGAGGGTCAGAGTGATTTGCTCAGGGTCACAGCTGGAGTGTCAGAGACAGCATCAAATGAGGTCTCCTAATTCTAACTCCAGAACAGTTTCCTCTAATGTGTCTTTTTCTCTTGAATGAGGGGCAGACAGTCTCCTCTCTAGTCACTTGAGACCAATCACCGAGAGCATCTTCCATCTTCTAGGCAGTGCTGGGCCAGGGGTTTGTTGGGCAATAAAGTGGATTGGATGTTGTGCTTCAGAAGAAGAAATACAGTGTGGGATACACAACTCCTCAACCCCACAAACCTAGTGCTGGAAAATGTCCAACTCAGAACATCTCCTGAAAACTTCTCACTCACCAAACAGAACTAGAGACAGCCAATAAATACTTGAAACAAATGTTCAATCTCAAAAATAATTAAGAGATTCAAATTAAGCAATGAAAACACCATTTTTAATCAAAGAAACTGACGAAGATTTTAAAAAATTGTAATATGCATAATTAACAAAGTTTTGGAAAATGGAACTTACATACTTCTGATAAGAATGTAAATTGAGGGGGCTGGCCCCACGGCCTAGTGGTCAACTTCTCGCTCTACACTTAGGTGGTCCTTGGTGGGTTCAGTTCCCAGGTACAGACCTATACCATGCAACAGCAGCCATTCTGTGGCAGCGACCCATGTATAAAATTGAGGAAGACTAGCACAGATGTTAGGTCAGGGCAAATCTTCCTCAAGCAAAATAGGAAGGTTGGCAACAGATGTTAGCTCAGGGGGAATCTTCCTCAGCAAAAAAAAATAAAAAAGAAAAAAAAGAAATTAAACTGATCTAGAGCTCCTCTGGGAGACATTTCACTGGAAGGCACAAAAACCTTCAAGGTGCACACACTCCTTTATCTGCAATTCCACCTCTATGGATGTAGCAGAAAGAAATGGTTACAGGCACAAACAGAAATATATATGAATGCTCACTCTCATTCTAAAAACCAAAACAAGCCATATAAGATACATAATCATAAGTTTTTAAAAAGTCATCAGATGTTAAGTACATAAAAACTTAAATGAATTAAACTCCATTAAGCACAAGCCCTTCATAATTTTATTTATTTATTTTTCTCCCAAAGCCCCAGTATAGTTGTATGCCATAGTTGCACATCCTTCTAGTTGCTGTATGTGGGACGTGGCCTCAGCATGGCCGGACAAGCGGTGCGTCGGTGCACGCCCGGGATCTGAACCCGGGCCGCCAGCAGCGGAGCATGCGCACTTAACTGCTAAGCCACGGGCCGGTCTTAGCACAAGCCCTTCATAAGAGAGAAGAGATACAGCTGTTCTCATCTCTGCCTGCAACGGACAGAGGAGGAATCTGCCTTAGACAGGAGTAAGGAGAACCCAGACCAACGTTCAACAAACTGTTAATAGCCACATGTAGGCTGATGCCACAAATTAAAATACAATGCTGGACTGCACTCTCTCCAAACTCTTCTCCCACCAGACTTCACTGAGTGCTGAGGGTAACACCCTAAAAATGGGGCAAGGAAGGAGTGTTGAAAGAACTCTCCAGGCACATTGGCTCGTGGACAAGGTGGACTGAGAGAGAGCAGAACTGAGAGAACTGCAGGCTCTCAGGCTTCACAGAGTGTAGGGCAGTTGCCAGCTTCCAGATGCTAAAGACAGGGTGGCATGGCTGCAAGAGATCTCCCAAAGCAGAGACAGTGAGACAGGAGAGCAAAGGGAACTCCCCAGTGACCTAAAAAGTGGGCAGCCAGGCTGTAAGGCAGGGGGGGATCTCCCAGAGTTCAGGAAGCAGGTGGCTTGGCTTTGAAACACAGGCAGACCTCGAAATCTCACCAGTGCTCAGATGTTTAGCTCTCCTCTGATATCTGTGGAATGATGTAAAATGGTCTAAAATATGCATAATTGGAATCTCAGAAAGGGGGGAGAGAGAGAGAGAGAGAATAAATATTGAAAGACATAATGGCTTGATAAGTTTCCAAAGCTGATAGAAGACATCAACCCACAGATCCAAGAAACTTGGCAAACTTGAAGAAGGATAAAGATCAAACATAAAGAGAAGATGTTACATGCAATGGGGCGCCATTGGTGATTTTTAGGTGGGAGAGTGCTGTGATCTTGTTTATACTTGTAACTGGCCTCTCCGACTAATGTATGGAGAAGGCAGCTACAGGGGCAAGGGCAGGTAACAGTAGTACAAGAGTGTGGTGATGACATTATTCTTTACTGCCATTTCAGCCCTTCCTGTCCTCCTCAGACAGCACAGGGAGACAGACAGTGTTTCACACTTCAACAGGGGCTTCTCTGACCATGTTATCCTCACTGATGGTACCCTTTTCTTCTAACCCATTCATATTCCCCAGACCATGTCTGCTTTGTTCATCACTATACCCACAGTGCCTAGCACAGTTCCTGTTACATGGTAAGTGCTCAATGCATATTTACCAAAGGAAGGAATGAAACAAAGTTCAAAACTACAAAAGTGCAACATATCTGGACTTTGCTACAAGGTACCTTATCTTCTTGGTAATGGGGTTATATCGTGAGATCATCACCGTGCAGGCGCCACAGCCTCCCCCTCCACAGCCATACTTGGTTCCTGTCAGTCGGACTGGAGAAAGCACAGTTAAAGATCATGTGTTTTCCATAATTCTCTTTCTAGAATAGCTCCGACTTTAGAGGACAACACACATCAAATACTCTTAAATGTATAGCTACGTTCAATACATATTCATCAAATGATACATGTATGTCTTAGCTGTTATTATTTAAAATCTTGTAAATTCTTTATTTCCATTTGTGTGTTATGTTTAGTCTCCTCCCTTTCAAAACAACTGGACCCCAGGTTGCTAAAAATAGAGCCAAACTAACATTAAAAATAAAAGAGTCTATACATAAAAGGGCTTGAGTATTTGAAAGTATGAGTATAGTGCACATTTGCTCTCATCCTTATCTGTGTCTTTGATGACAAAGTAAAATGTCAAATTATATATAATTCTTGGAATATTTGTTTCGTATTATCCATATTTGCCATCTTTCTCTGCTTCTGTGTGGCAGAAATTATTAGTTGTTCCCCAATATCTGTTCTCTCCTTCTTCCTTGGTAATAGAAACCCCAAGTTTTTGGCTATGTACATGTTTGCCCAGAAGAAAAAATACATTTCCCCAGCCTCCTCTGTAGCGAGGTGGGGTCATTACCAAAGCTGGCCAATGGGATGTAAGCATAATTGTTGTGTATGACCTCCAGGAGGGAAATGTCCTCAAAAAGAGAGGGATGCCCCCTTCTCCATCTCTTACTTCTTCTCATTGGCTGGAATTCAGATACGATGGCTGGACCTCAGTTAGTCATCTCTGACCATGAGGAGAAAGCTGCACGCTGATGAAGGGGGAGCCGCAGGACATAGGAGCTGGGTTCCCTGATAACGTTGTGACACTGCTGTACTAGCCCTGATCCACCTACCTCTGGGATTCCCTTATGTGAGTGTGACAGCCATGAGAATGTGCCTCACAGACCTCCTTCAACAGGGGGGTAACGGACCGTGAGACCCAGATGCTGCTCTGTTATATCTATCTCCTCAGTTTTCATTAAGGCCAGGCCTCCCTGGCTGCTCCCCATCAATGGCTCAGAGCTATGGAGAGACATGGGGGTCCTTGTCAACCATCCCCAACGGCTGTGATGAACATGCCTTAGACCACACAGCAGTCTAAGACCCTTCCACTCAACCTTCTCTCCCTCTCTTCCTTACAGGTCGGACTTGCATTGTGGTCTAATGGCTCCCTAAGCCTTCTCTGGCTCCCTCCCTATTTCCTTTCACTCAGGCATTTCTCCTAATAAAACCCATGCACATTTAATCCCATTTTTTGGTGTCTGCTTCCCAGAGAACCTGAACTAACACACTGAGAAAGAAATAAACTTCTATCTTCTATCTTGTTTACTGCTATTTGGGAGTTTCTGTCACCCACAAGTGAACTAAATCTTAAATGCACATTGCAACCATGGATAACCAGGAAATCAGTGTTCATTGTTTTTATGTCCAAAAATCTTGAATGACTTTCAGAACATAGTTATTCACGCATTTTGAGTTGTGGACTCTTTTGGGAATTTCTCTCTCTCCAGGGGAAAAAAATGTACACACTCTCATTGTCACATAATTTTGCATATAATTTAGTGGGGTCTACAGACCTCTGGAAGCCCACTGGAGTTCATGCATAGCAGGCTAAGAATCCATCCCTTAGGTGATTTTTATTTAGAAAGCTTTCCTAAGGTAACATTTTCAGAAGTAATTTCTCCATTGTTCTTTTACTTTCGTCTCAGAAGATTTACACGCTCTCTTGGGCATGAGTATTAGTCCTTGAAGATACAATGTCAATATTGTGACTCTTAATCCTAAAGATGCTTAATTAAGCCCTTTTAACATTTGTTTTAATTCCCATTGCTAGCTTCTCCTTTTTGTACAATACATTTAGTGCCAAAACAGAGATTAGGAAGAACGTGGTTCTTCTGACAGCCACAATTGTGCACTGCCTACACAACTAAGACGTAGGACTTTCTCAAAGAAGAACATGAAACCAAAATTGTAGGGAATATGATTCAGTGTGGCTCTAAAAAGATGTGAAATATCACCTTATGAGGATATCAGAGCTATACACAAACACACACACAAACACACTCTCACACAAACACACACTCAAAGCAAAAACAAGGATACGCTTCTTCCTCAGGTATGGTAACAGCATTGTTTCAGGATCAACATTTTTTTCTATCACCTGCACCAGAAGGAAAATAAGAGTTATACACGTAAAGTTGAGGGGGCTAGTGTGATATTCGCATTGGCAGGCTCATCTTAATTTGATGGAAATGTACATTAATTAACTCTTCTACTCATATTTTCAAGTTGATTTAATGTTTACGGAACACCTGTGATGTACAAATCACCTCTCTTACGTGTGGAGTCTAAATCGTGAGCCCCTCCACCACTTTGCACTGTCCTAGGTCCTGAATCATCACTGTTCAATAAGGCAGCAGTTGTTTCCACTAACAGAACACCAGTGACTCCTGCCCAGCTTCTCTTAGAGAGTCTGAAGCACGTGAGGCAAAAGATATCAGCAGAGCAGAGTAGAGAAGGAGGAGGTGGGGGTGGCTGCTAGAACAGAATACCATCTGAGAAATTGATTTAGTTTTTAAAAAAGACTTGTTTGTTTATCGTGTTCAAAGAATTCCAGTTTTCAGAAAGAGATCACACCCAACAGTGGCCCCCAAATCAAAGAAACAAAGGAGAAGATAAAATGCCTATGCCAAGTGATACAAAGATGTGCAAGCAAGGGCTCACTTCAGAAGCAAGTCTGCATGGGCAACCCAGCCACACAGCAACAGAACAGCAGTGCCCAAGGGACGGCATGATTGAAATGTCATGATGGGTTAGGTTTTCCAAAGTGACCATGTTTTCTCTTTTTTGATTGAAAATTTGGATTTCTAGGGCCGGCCTGGTGACGTAGTGGTTGTGTTCACGCACTCCCCTTCAGCAGCCCAGGGTTTGCAAGTTCAGATCCTGGGCGCGCACCTACATACACATCGCTCCTGAAGCCATGCTGTGTTGCCGACCCACATACAAAGTTTGGAAGATTGGCACAGATGTTAGCTCAGCGACAATCTTCCTCAACCAAAAAGAGGAAGATTGGTGGCCTAGAGAAGTCAAGATGGTACCGTAGGCAGACTCTGAACTCACCTCCTCCTGTGGACACAGCCAATTTGCAACTACTCGTAGAAAGATTACCCCTGAGACAGAGCTGAAAAACTGGATAAGAGGAACTTCTGCAACAACGGACAACCCTAACTGAGGTGGAAGAGGCAGAAACTCCATTCTGGAGAGAAAAAAACGCCGCCTTCACGGGCCACAGCACCTCACGACTGCCCGGGAGCGGCCCAAAGGTGCACAGCCCTCCCTGGAGGAGCGGGGCCCTGAGCTGGGGAGCACCCTGCTGTGGGCATTTTGTGGACCCAGCACAATCGAGACGGGTGGCAGAATATCTGACTTTGCCTGCTACTGAAGCATTGGGGAGTACCCCCAGAAAAGCTGGTTCACAAAGACATTAAAACCGGCTCTTGAAGGGCCCACGCGCAAACTCACCCGTTTCAGAAAGCAACCTAAGGTCACCAGAAAGAAAGGTGCACAGTGCTTTGGTGAAAAGAGACTCACCTAATGGGCCCTGTGTGCATCTCGATGAGGGGTGAGACCTCTCCAGGGACTGGGACACTGGCGGCGGCCATTGTTGTGGCCTGGTGTGGGCGTGCTGACACAGACGCCATTGGAGTTCTCCCTGGGGCCTGCTAGCCCAGGGTCTGCCCCACCCGCTAGAGCAC